CTCTCCACTGGGAACAGAGACTGAGAGCTAACTGATCATCGCTCAGCTCTCATTCATAGAGCCAGTGTTCTATCGAAAGCTCCAACTCGTCAAAAGCTCCAACTAACTCACTGCCGGGTACTTGCAAGTTGGAGATTTCGACCAGACAGAGTTAGACTGCAAAACACAAAGAGTGACGGAGCTCTGCACAGCTGCATTTTAACAATTTTCAGCAGGTGACAAACTGGACGAGTATTCTGAAAACGCTATGCGTGCATGCGCACCGCAACTGTACAGAGCTCCAGTCTTTCTGAGCACCAGAAGTGAGGTAGTTGGAACTTTCGATAGAACACCGGCATCAGTGAAAACAGTCCTTAGGCAGTGCGGGAGCTAAACATGCCTTAGCAACTCCCCTCTATGACCTGTAAGCTTAGAGCCAACGGAGGGAGTTTTACACCAGGGGTAGGCATACTCTAGCCCTCTAGCTGTTGTGGAACTACAAGTCCCATGAGGCATTGCAAGACTCTGACAGCCACAGGCATGACTCCCCGAGGCAGATGCTTGATGGCATTTGTAGTTTCACCACAGCTGAAGGGCTGGAGTTTGCCTACCCCTGTTTTACACCAATCACTTCCTTTGTGGCTCTCGTGGGGTTTGTCAGAACTGCAAAGCAAGTGACTAGTTTAAAGCTTCCTGTGCTGACTTTTTCAGGGTTATTCACCAAAGGGTGAGAGTTTGGGGAAGGCAGGAGAAGTGAAGAATCTAGGACAACATAGCTGAACTGGAAAGTGGGCTGAATTGGAGAATTTGTATCAAATCAGCTATTTTGGCCTAGATTGTTCACTTCTCCTGCCTTCTCCAAAGTCTTCACCCTTTTGTGAATAACCCTGTTTGTTTACAGGTCACAGGAGGAAGCTAGTGAAGCATGTTGGGCTCCATGTTGTCATAGGACTGTTTACATTAAACACTGTAGACACATCGTCCTGGGTGACATGCCTGAGCTGGGGATTTTCTGTGTTTTTGTAATGCCTCCCTGTCTGCTGCCCAAGTCCGCCATGACAGTTTTTTTGGGTGGGTGATTTAGGAGCGCTAGGGAATTTTTGGGGGTTCTTTAGCACAACCACGCACACCTCCTGGCCCTCGCCGCTGCCTGTCACCATATTGAAGACCAAAAATACAGAACAGTCACATGTGCACAGTTTAGTCATTGAATTCAGGAACAGTGTCACAGCGCCATTCATGTTCATCTAGTCCTACCATGTTGTAATTCTCTCTGCTGCCAATATGTGCAATGAGATAGGTTGTCTGTGGTCTCTGCTGTAGTTGTTAGGATGTTGGGCTATGGTGTATGTTGTTGTGTGCTGTTACCAGAGAACAAGATATGAAGTGTGCTATCGTGTCCGATGTGCTTTGTACACTTTCAGTACAGTGTACCATGTCCAGCCCACAGGGTGTGATGTATGCTGTGTCCATTGTGCAAGGCCTGGTACGTGCCTCTGCCTCATCCAATAGTCAGTGGGTCAGACAGGAAGTGACATTAGTGTAGCCTTAAATTATATCCGGTTTTTAATAAATAAGTCTGACAAATGAAGTTAGAGTTTTCATCCCCTGCTGCCTTAAGGCAAAAATAAATAGCAACATTTTGTTTTGTTTTAGTTTTTTTTCCACTCAATTTCAGATTTTTATAGCAGATTGTAAGGTGTGCACACGCAGTGAATGCCAAGGAGTCCACTTTGTTCTTTTTTTCTGCTTGAATGGGCAGCATCAGATTGATTTTCTCTTGAGCTGGAACAGAATTTAATGTGAACTTGAGTAGTATCATTAAGTGACTTCCTGAAAGAAGCGATTTCTGCTGCATATCCAGAAATAGATCTCTGCTCCATATTGTTCATCAGAATTATGTTTACTCAAACGAATACTCAAACGAATAAGCCAGTAGGTTTGCCTGAGCTTCAGCAGATCTCTGCGTTCAACCCGGACCCGACCCCATACACTAAGGTCACAGTGAGGAGGTACATATCTATTGGTGACCCTTTCCAAATATGCAAATAACATATTCACATTCTTTCAGTGTATTTAGCAGTTGATGGAGGTCCTCACAAGGCCTAGAGTACCATTCTGACGACCCGGAGTAACCTCCTGATGAGCTATACGCCTAGTGTAGTAATTTCTACAAGTTTGCCTATACAAATATTCTAGATACACTGCCTGGCCCCCCCCTCCCCCCCAAAAAAAATAAAATAAAAGTCACACGCTCTAATATTTTGCTGAATCTCCTTTAGCTTTCATTACAACACACATTCGCCATGGCATTGTTTCTATAAGATCATGCAATTTCACAAAATCTATTTCCATCCAGAGTTGCATTCATTTTTCACCAAGATCTTGTAGTGATGGGAGAATCGGACCACTGTATTAGGTTCTAAGACTAGAAAATAACTCTACCTGCAATACTTACTTCAACTCAGGAGCTTTCACCTCAAGATGTCCTCAGTCTTCTGGGTTGAATGATGCCCATCGTCACTTTACCTGGAAGATCGAATACTCTACTGTGCGTGCAGAGCCCTTAGCTAACGCTGAATGTATTTCAAAACAGTAGAAAACAAGTTAGCTTCAAACACCACATCGATAAGCACTAGCCAACCAGTGCATATGTGGCTTTCCTGCCTAATATGTCTACTTTATGTCACCTAAGAAGGTTTCACCATGGTGCCCTTCATTCACTGGGATACGACCCACTGGATCACGTGAGTGGACAAAAAAAAATAAGCAAAGGATAACATACAGGCTCAGGGCCTCCAAGAGGAGAGAAGGGGGCAATTAACACTTGACAATAACCCTGACCCTTAATCTAGTTTCTAGCTCTAAATGAACTACTAAAAGTCTGTACTTATCACATGCAGTTAAGGTGCACTTTGGAAATACTGGACTAGTTCCAACCCAAAGTTCTCCACTGGTTCTTACAAATTCCAGAAGGCTAAAGAGGATGGCAGAACATAATTCCCTGATTAACAATGGAGGATTGGTTAGCCTTTCTAAGCCAAGGTGCAGTGGCACACTGGTTTCCCTCCTGGCCTCCTCAGGGGTGTCTCAAAAGTTTGTGTAGTGGAAGTGTGATATGACGGGGGAGTGAGAATTGATGTTAAGGTGACTCCTGAGGTAAAAGGGAAACACTGATATGAAAGGGGGGACTCTGATATGAAAGTGGGGCTACTGATGCAAAGGGTGACCCTGATGTGAAGGGGGTGACATCTTTATTTGAAGGGGGCACTTTGATGTGAAGGGGGAACACACTTTTTTTGGTGTTTTTGTGTGGGAACCCCCTTAAAATCTATGACATTTTAGACTGGGGTACATCCAGATTTTGCATACTTTTAAAGGGTGCTATAGCTAAAAATAAGTTGAGAAATGCTGATATATCAAATTGGGTTGTAATAAACTGGCCTCAGTTGTTTTGGTTGTAAATAAACTAGCCGCTCCTTGCAGTTTTGCTGTGTAATCAGTGTAGATGTAAACAGTGATTTGCAGAGCTCTTTCTAGCCTATATAGTTCATCATGAATGCATGACCTGACACCCAGGAAGAGGCACAATGCAATGACGTCTTGGGTTACTTGACAAAAGTAGACATATTAGGCAGGAAAGCCACATATGCACTGGTTGGCTAGTGCTTATCGATGTGGTGTTTGAAGCTAACTTGTTTTCTGCTGTTTTGAAATACATTCAGCGTTAGCTAAGGGCTCATTCACAGCAGCGGCTGCGTTAGAAAACAGCAGCTGGTGTGTGCTGTGTTGAGAGCGCTGCCAATGTGTTGAGAACAATGTAAGCTTGTACAACATTGCGATTTGGTGTACTGCGTAGAGGAGAGAGCAGAGTGACGTAGGGATGGGCTGCTGCTGCTCAGATGCTGAGGCCCATGACTGGGAAAAAGTGATGAGCTAACTTTATTGCTTAAAGTGACCCTGTCATTTCTATTACAGAATCCAAAGGGAAGATCTCTGCAGTAGAAGAGCCATTATACTCACCTCTCTCTGTAGTCCATGTGCCCCACCTTCCCTCTGTTCCAATGCTGCAGCCTCTGACTGCATTTGACACTTCCAGGAGAGGCAGATGCCTGAGCCCCCAGCCATATATGCGGTTTCTTCCCCTGACCCCCTACATCACTATAAGACTTAGGGGTCAGAGAATGGAACCACAGTGGTGCTGGCAGACACATCCAACACTCTCGAGTGAGTTATACAGAGGCTGGAGCAGTGGAAGAGAGGGAGGTAGGTGGATATAATAGCTCTTCTATTGCAGGGAGCTTCCTTTTAGATTTTGGAACTGACAGGGTCGCTCTAACTGCAAAATGTAGGTAATCAGGCTGAATGTGCTATCTGGCAGAGCTATGCAAATCTCAGGACTGTATAGACCAAAATATAAATCCTATGGCCAGTCCACTCAACAGTTATATTTACTTTTTTGGTAGATTCTGAAATGTTAAACCATTTGACCCTTTGTATATCTTTTGAAAACTTCAATAGTAAGATACTTGCTGCAGAATTAATAAGGGTTCTAGGGGTGCCCCTTTCTCTGTGCTGGGTTTTTATTTATTTTATATTGTTTAGAATTCATCAGGACTGGGTACATCAAGGCCAAAAACTTCAAGGTGAACCAGGCTTAGAGTCAGGAAATATAGTAGGGGAGTCCCAGTGCTAAGGTCCCCAAAAGATATTAGTAGCCAGTCTGGATAACAGAATGCACTTATAACTAAAATTTTTATTTTGGTGGACTTAACCTTTAAATTGGCATCTGACTAAATTGCCACTAGTCTAAATTCCCTGCTCTGACATGGCTGGTCCCCAGCCGATGCTGACACAGGAGCTGAGCTAGCAACCCAACCTCATAAAAATTGACAGCCGTTACAGAAACAGCAAAATTTCTGCCCGCTTTGCAAAGCAGCACTGGAAGCACGGAAGGCGGTTAGTGTATAAAAACTTTGTCTTCCTGTTTACAGTTATCATGAAATTCTCTTTTTCCATAGGAGTTGACTCTCGCTGTAATGGAGACACAGCCCCTGGAGCAGCAAATCCAAAGTGTGGAGCGCAATATTGCGTTTTTAAAAAAAGAACAGCTGGATCTGTTGCATGATCTTCACCTGGAAATTCTCAGACTGCAAAAGCATTGCACAGGTAAGCTTCTAGTTCATTTATGACCCTTCTCCTTTACTTTCCACTGTACGTTTTGAGGCTTTATTTCTGCAACATGGTCTGCCATCACCACCAAGTTTTTGTTAATCTGAATATGGGATTTTTGTCTAAATTTGCATAGAATATATCAAATAGATATAATATACAGTATATACAGAATATATTAAATTAATGGGACCTGCAGGAATTTCCTGTGCCACTATCTAACAGTTTTTTTTTTACCAAGGGCAGACTTTCCTTGACTAGCTTGTTATAGCTTGTTAGGATGTGGTGGCTCATACATCAAGTTGCAGCAGCCTTTGGGGCGTGCCTGGATACAATGTGCATGTTTTACAGCAAGTTCAAGATGGATTGACTGCAGGGATGCAAAGTACTGATGAATATGAACGAACCAGCAGTATTTGTATCAGAAAAACAGCTTTGAGGAAGCATTGTATCCAACATAGTGGACACGTGCCAATAGACTGGTCATTTCACCTGCCATGTTTTACCAGTGTCAACGATGGATATTAATGCTTAAAGCAAATAGAAATAAACTCTATAAATAAAAAAATTGGTAGGTTAACTCTCTTCTGCCAAAAACCTCTTCTCTTTACTCAAGCAAATTTTAATTTCTGTGTACACTGTTAGGCGCATGCGCCATGCAGTATGCACTTCAGTGATATCTCCTTCGCACACCATACCAATGTACCCCAGAATTCAACAGGGGCTAGAACAACTGGTGGATGGTGCTGCAGTATACAGTTTAGCAGATATGTTCTCCTTACACCATTCTGCTTCAGAATATAATTGTATTGGTATTCCTTCAGCATGACATAAAAATGCAACATTTCGGAACCTCGCAGGGTCCCTTTTGTGCGAGGTTCCTAGCCTGACATAGGGTCCCTCCGTGCGAGTGTCCTTGCCTGATGAAGGGACCCTGCAAGATTCCAAAATGTTGCATTTTTATGTCATGATAAAGAAATACCAAAAAAATATATATTTTGAGACAGGATGATGTACGAACAACATATCCACTATGCAGTATGCACTCTTGGCTCATTCCCAGCATCTGTGGGATGATGCAGCTCCTGTAGATAAGGGTTACATCATCAGTGGACACCCAGTGGCCAAAAAGGATCGAAAAGAATCATTAGCGGAGATGGTGGCAGTGGGGTATGCCTAGATCTGTCATCGTTGGAGGACATCACAGTAGTAGCTAGGTGTGTCCCATAATCTGCAAATATGATATATGGCAAAAGCACACCTCCACCACCCAGTTTTCTTCCAATTTAAATAGTTCCAGGTTGTTTTATTGGATTACATGACTGTATCTTGCCATGTTGGTCAGCGTTTCACTTTAAAGAGGCCATTCAGGGCAAAGGAAATTCTACAGAAGCCATGGCGAATTTCTCTCTATTCCCCACACAGATTCATTTTTATTTTACACATAAAAAAGTTGGGATTGCAGCTGGATAAGTGACAGTGCTAGGGTGAATTATATTGATGCCTGTATTTTAGCATTGTTACCCATTTATAGAGAAATTCCCACAAAAAAATATTACATTTTGATTTTAGCAGCCGGGGACCAAGTACCTATAGCACCTGCCACCATTTTTATTGGTGGCTCCATTGTGGAATAAAATCACCTCTTTATGTTAAAGCTGGCTGTAGCTCCACTCTAGTCCAAATGCCAAAAAAATTTAAATTCTGTTGGGGGAGGTAAAGCCAGCACTAAGCCCCCGCCCCCTTTCTAAGCTGTTTGTTTACTATCATGAATGCCAGGGCTGTGTGATAGAGCTGCCAGTTGCTAGTAAACATAAACATACCGGACATCAGCAGCTATATCACACAGCCCTCACAGTGCTGATTGCTGATGCTATGTGATCTATTTGCCAGGGCTACCTATAAATACACAACCCTGGCAGATAGATCACAGCCCTGCAGATCTAAGTGAGCTTTTACCACTACGAATGAACAATCATTGCTGTCCGGGCTGTGCCATACACAGTACCAGCCCCAACATCGCTGTTTCTTCATTCATAAAAGATCACTCAGCGCTGCGGGGCTGTGATCTATCTGCTAGGGCTGGATATTTGCAAGCAACTCCGGCAAATAGATGTGCTTTACGTGAGTTGCATCCCATGCTGTTTGCTAAATACTGAGGAAAAGTCATAGAGAGGTGGTCTGGGCTGTGTCTAAGCCATCTGTGGAATAGCAAAAAGTTTTCCTGGCACACTCACAAGCTAGCATGTAAAAAAACTTGTCTCCCACTAAGGTTAAAAACAGAGGTTGGGATACACGTCTTCTGCAGAAAATGTGAAAGCCGCACAGCCGCGCCAAGGCACCTCTTATACTGCGGTCCTAACTCTAAACTATCAGAGGATCCATCTTGGAGCACACGGGGCAGAAGATAAAATTGGGTGCAGGTTTGTCAGGAGGAAGCCCAACAACCTTAAAGGCACAGAGACGCACAAGGGATCCCGCACATCCCAATGGCAGCTGAGACCCCCCATGCGTCACTGCACCAAAATAGTCAAGCAAAACAGATGACAAACGCACTCATCAATTCGTCACCAGCTTTACAGTAAGGTGCACACGGAATGGGCTTTAAACAGTAAAATAGCAAATAAGCCATCTGTGGAGCCCAGTACACTGCGCTCTAGCCACGGGAGACAGCTGTCTGCTGTATGCTCCATCACCACCCACCCATTGGCTGATCCAGCGATTCTTCCTAGGGACCGGCTGTATGTGCGTATCTTGTACCAAGCATGTATATATTGTCATTTTCTGATGTCACGTTTCTCACCGGGCCATTTTAGCTTATATGATCTGACTTTCTTTCCATGTGGCATGCTACATGGTGATTATTGTGGCCTTGGACAGGGTGGTGGGATGTCAGCAGCTGTTATTTCCATGTCCTTTTAGATGGCGGTGACAGTGCTGGTCTCCAGTGCTTGATTACTTCCGATTAATCACTTTGAGCAAAACACATAAAGGTTTATTCTTTGATGTCTATTTGATCTGCGCATACCTGTATATTTTCACAATAAATCTTACAGTTAAGCAAGACAAAAAAGGAATGAAGAGGTTTCATTTTACTACGATCCTTAGCCACTTGAAGACCGGGGTGTTAAACCCCCTTCCTGTCCAGGCCATTTTTCACTATTCAGCACTGAGGTACTTTGACTGACATTTCATGCAACGCTGTACTGAAATGAACAAAATTAATTTAATATAATCGTTTTGGGACAGGTAGAGCTTTCTTTTAGTGGTATTTAATCACCACTGGGGTTTTTATTTGTTACTATATAAAAAATTACCAAAATGTTTGGGGAAAAAACAGTTTTCCCAACATTATGTTATGAAACATTTATTATTACCCATTTTTTTTTCTAAATTATAAAAGATGTGGTTCGGTCGGTAAAATAGGAACCAAACATGTCAAGCCTTAAAATTGTGTGCACTTCAACATTCGCAGTGATATGTAACATGTGTGGTGCAATCATGGTTTTCGCACGTAGACACACCCGATGATTGCACTGTTTACCTTTGTATGTGCATATTATGTGGGGGTGGGGACTTACAATTTGTTGTTTTGATATGCAACTTTTTTTTTTACATTTTTATTGCTATCACATTGCGGGTTAACAAGCTGCAGCAATGGAATGTCCCTCTGTGTCCTCACATCCTATACACTGTGTTGGATCCTTAGATTTTCATAGGCAGCCCTGCCTCAAGGGTTTAGAACACATTTTTGCCTTGAGAAATCTCCCAAATGGGGATATAGAGAGCTACTTTAAACTAAAAGCTGGGCTTAAACCACTTGTTATACAAATGGCCATAGTTCACTAACAATTAGAGCTTGTTCACACTAGGTGTGTAATCTGAATTGATCAATGCAGGTTCACTGCAAGGGTGCATAGAAAACAATTGTTCTCTATGTGCCCTGTTCACCCCATACACGTACAGTGATGTCAGTTGCATAAAAATGCAGCATGTCAAAGTAAACAGTGTGGTTCTTTGTAACAGTGCATCACGTTGCCCTTCACAGTGCACATGTTATATGGTGCATAACCCATGCATGCTGGTGTAAACAGACTCTAATAGACTTTGTGAAGCTGGACTAGTAAATATGTAACATAAGGCATGTGTAATTGTAGCTACAAAAATGCATATATTTGGCTACCATTTAGCCATATATTACAACTCCAAGGCTGTAATCAGCCTTTGGAACCTATATTGTTTTTGCTATTTTAATGTATGCCTTTTGTTTGTCTCCGGTTGGGCATTGAAAACATACTTTAAACACACACACTGGAATAAACCTATTGCTGACAATGCAGGATATTCATTGCGAAGGTATGAATGATAATACATCTATTTTTTTATTGTGGAGTGTCTTCCCATCAGGGTTGGATTTGCCAATAAACACAGTAGGCATGTCTCTAGATGCAGTAGAGACTGTATTGTTATCAGCCACATAGTTTTCCCCATCAGAAATATAGTCATCTCATATACAGGTGAAACTCGAATATTTAGAATATCGTGCAAAGTTCATTTATTTCACTAATGCAACTTAAAAGGTGAAACTAATATATGAGATAGACTCATTACATGCAAAGCAAGATAATTCAAGCCGTGATTTGTCATAATTGTGATGATTATGGCTTACAGCTCATGAAAACCCCAAGAACCCCAAATCCACAACCTCAAAAAAGTAGATTATCACATGCAATCAATAAAACATGGATTGTACATAGAACAATATCAGACCTCTGAAAAGGTGCAAGCATGCATATGTACTCAGTACTTGGTTTGGGCCCCTTTTGCAGCACTTACTGCAATTACTTTAGCACGATATTCTAATTATTCGAGTTTCACCTGTAAGCTTAATTCCATTTTCTCACAATATTTTAAGCCAGGTTAGGACCAGGAAATCAAAGAAATGTTCTTTGTGAAAGAGATGGGCATCTGTCTTGGGCTCTAGTGTTGGAATTCTT